AGCCTCACAAGGACATGTCCGTTGTTGATCCACGTTGTTCACCTCAAAGTTTCAGAAACTGAGAAACGAAGACACATTAATTTATCAGGATAATCCACCAAAGTCAGCAAAATGACTTCAGACTGGAATGGATGTTTAGCCTGGTATACAATTAAGCAAGGTTTGTTTTTGTCTCACGGCGGCTTCCTGCAAGACGTCAATCCCACCGACCCCCGCGTGAACGAAGACTTAATCGCAGTGGCCATTCCGCAAGTCGATTTAAAGTCTGGTGTATTTCTGTGTTGAAGAACGCGAGAACCGAGACAATTATGTAGCTAAATTATGGCACTGTCAATGGCGATCCTGTTTCTTTCCGAGATGACTCAGCGAAGGTGTTTAATCAGTTTGAATTCCGTCTAAATATTCTTCCAATATGACTGGTTAAACACGGTTCCGTTAATTAGGTAGACGCATCTCTTTTGATTTCTTAACGGGTAGTCCATCAATAGTTATAATTTCAGTTCACAATGATATACTTAAATTCTTTCATTTCATTGAAATACTTTTAAAGTTCATTTTAAAGTGTTCTTGCTCATAACAGTATGATGTTACTCGGCTACAATACTTGATCAATTACATCACACGCATATAACAGACCTTTAGTGTGGCTCAACTCTTTCCAAATGTTTTTTACGTTGTGATGAGAACATCACATGATGAAATGTAATTAAAAGATGATAATATTTCGTTTACATGCACATTTCTTTTTATTATAAAACCCTATCTTCTATTTGTGCAATGTCATGTAAAGGCTAACTGTGAATTAAAAAAGAAACAGTCAGCACAATGACTGTAAACAAGATTTTTTACTTAAACTGACAAAAATTTGTCTTTGACACTGTTGAATTGTTAAGCTGAATTTTTCGCAACATACGAGAAACTGATGCATCAAAGTAAAAGAAAATTTGGAATGAGTTTTTCAATGTCGGCTCATACATAAACATCAAAGCCAAATGAGTCGCCTATGGATTAACCTGAAACGAACTCATTTGTTGAAGGTAATATTCCTAATTTTAGTTTTGCCTTTGAACTGGATTATTTTTTCTCATTTCTTTTTACTGGAGGTGATGTCTGTGAGTCAACGGTATTTTACGGCGCCTCCAACCGCGCATCTCTGTTTAATACTTGAATATTATAATTGATGAATTATTTCCGATGTAACCAAAATATAACAACTACCATCTTTTAATGTATTTTAGTATTACGCACTCGGGGTCCTGGGCAACAGCTCTATAAAACAGACTTTTTTTTGTTTGTTTAACGCCGCACTCAGTAATATTCCAGCTATATGGCGGCACTCTGTAAAAGAAACGACCCTGGACAATCCTGTGATCAACAGCACGAGCATCGATTTACACAACTGGGAAAACATGACATGTGGGGGCAGTCGACGCTTAACTTTTGTCCAGGTGTATGCGTTCTACATAGGAAACAGTTTATAATAAAGAGTTGTCTTCAACATGGGTATGTCCATAGACACCATTATAAAGGACAATCGTTGATGTATACTGAAGACATATGTACACTTATTGATAGATTTCGATTTGACTTGATATTTGATTTCGGTTTTAACAATACCAGCAAAGGCGGATACAGCTTTTTAAGAAGTGTGTGTTTGTGTGTGTGCGTGCGTGCGTGCGCGCGCGCACTCAGTTCAGAAAGGGGGTAGTGGTGCACAGTTCATTTTCACCCGTTTTCACGAGAGTTTCAATGGTCATCTAATACATTTTCAGGACAAAAGGGGATGCGTACCCCTACGACCAGCTGGATCCGCCTACGACCAGCCGGGCCCAGACTTCACTTATGATAATACTTCAAATCATTTCTCCATCAAAATGTTAAATGTACATTTGCATATAATTTACGATGAGCCTACACGTTTAAACCTCTAACGAATAAACGTGTACATGGTTGGAACAATGTTGATGCGATGGTAACTTTTAACTCACTCACTCTCCGTTAAAGTTGACAGAGTTAACAAACATCGACCGAACTGTCAGTTTTCAGTCTAAGTTACTAGGACTTGCGACAGGCTAAATTTGTCCCCACTTTGATAGGGTCCGGACGGGCAAGCTGGGGATACATCGTTTCCATGCTGTTAGCGTTGCTGAGCTGCAATATCGCCCGCTCACAGCATCAGACTGTTCTCGAGACGTGTGAAATGTTGCAACTTGCCAGTCGGCATTAGGTATCACTTCTTTCCACGCCAACGAAATCCTGAAAATGTGGCACGATCGAGAACGGTGTAGCTGAACAGATCGCTTCACGCACGGTCAGAACAAAACAGGTAAATGGAAACGTGCAAGTAGGTCGGTTGCCCCTAGACCATTTAGCCACCCGTATATGTACCGTTTGTCCGAACGTGTGCTGGAGATAAAGGTGAGGTGAGGTGAAATTGGGTTTTACGTCGTGCTTGAGAATATTTCGCTCATATGACGACGTGCATGCGTGTGTATGTGTATGTGCGGCTGCTTGTACTAGCCCAGACTTAAGCTGGTTTTATAGTTCTAGCCCACTGAGATACCATGCCGCAGTGAAGCGTGAATACCCCACTCAGACACATTATACTGACTCCGAGCCGACCAGTCCTTGTTGTACCCATTAATGCCGAGCGCCAGGCAGGGACCAACAAGTACCATATTTTAACGTCTTTTGGTTTGACGCGGTCGGGGATCGAACCCGCGACCTTCCGCTCTCCGGGCGGACGCTCTAACCTGGAGATAATGTCTTCAACATAGCGAACACGTCCGATTAAAAGACATACGGCGAATATGAAGAAATCGAAAATTACGCATTAAACCACGTCACTCAACATTTTGTTCGCTTGAGACCGTTTAGCCATAACCCGTACATACCACCTACTTAATCTACTAGATGAATTAATTATAGAAAGGCCCCTGTTGCCATTTGCGGGCTTATTTCAGCTTGACCGCTCACAAACTCACATATGATGCATTAGATAATTGAAGCGTCCCATAAATAATTACATGTAGAAAAATTTCACATACGGTCAAAGGGAAGTAACCCATGATTAGGACATTAATATCAACGCGCAACAAAAACCTTGGAGTTACCCCCCTTGGTGACACACACATTAAAGGTATAATGTCGGGAAAAAATAATAATATAACAATAATGTTCGTTGACAAAAAGAGAAATCATAGAACATGATGGAATAACTAACAGCAAATGTCACTTGCGCATGTGATAAATATTAACAACAGTATTACAACAACTATTGTAATTTACTATTTTGCCTCTGCAAATCTCTTCTAACAGTAACTTCTTTTTGAGTGGAATTTGTACCTCCTAACAGCATTTTCACAGGAAGTATGTGGTGAATTAGAATGACAGCTCATTTATATAAACCTCAGATACTGTATTGCTAACTCTCTGTATGCTGAGGACATAAAAACATTGCACAAATTTTATAAAACTGTGTTAACCCAGACCCTGTCAGTCTGGAAACCTTTTCTATGGACACCTCTCAGTCATTCAGGTGTGAAAACATGGTACTTCTATTCATACAAAGGTAGAACCGTCTCTACACACTTAGTGATACTTATTTGGTTTCACTGTTTCTGGAGAGGTAAAATGGGCTTTAATGTTATTTTCAGATTATTTACCTAATATAGCAACATGAATACTGGTGTGTGTGTGCGTGTGTTTTTTAAACTGCTTGCTTGCCTCATGAAATACCATGACACAGTGTAACATGGATACCTCGCTGAGACGCAGTGTAACATGGATACCTTGCTGAGACACAGTGTAACATGGATACCTCGCTGAGATGCAGTGTAACGTGGATACCTTGCTGAGACACAGTGTAACATGGATACCTCGCTGAGACAGTGTACTGACTCTGGGCTGACCAGACTTTGATTTATCCCATCAATGAAAAACAACGGAGTCTAAAGAATAACTGCTGTTTGCTCTGCATGTGTGTTTTATTAATTAACAAACATATACTATAACAAGACTTAGTGCCAATAGACAATGATAGATACATGAATACTTTGTAGCAGTTACCGTGCTCTCAATTTCAAAAGTTCCATTTTATGTTCTCAAACCGTTAATTTGTTCAAGACAATAGGCCACTTGTTTGAAAATCCTTTAGGGAGAGCTATGCACAGATTTTTTTATCAGGGCTGAATACAGTTTAAGTGTTCACAAGACATGCAGAGGGATGCTCTGAGTTATCTCCCTTGTCTCGACTAATACTATTATTTGTTGTTAAGCTTTGTTCTATCTCCCTTATAAAAACATTGTTTGGTTTTACACTGATATAATTCCAGCTATATGATGGCGGTCTCTAAATAATCAAATCTGGACCTGTTGGATCTATGCAACTGGAATACTATGATATATTTTCACCAAATCAGCGAGTCTGCCCCTCAGTTCCATCAGTTGCCTCGTATGTCAAACATTGGATGCTGAAGAGCTGTTCTATCCCTGATCTTCAATAGGTGACAGGTGACACTGCTTGCTCATTTGAGGAACTGTATACATGGTATATATATTATTGCTGCACCCAATCACATCTTCCCACAGTGCTAAGGAGCAACATCCTTGCATGCAGTTGAATGTGTAAACAACTGCCTGTTAAGCATGGTCAGATTTACAAACAACTGAAGACTGTTGTGATGCACAGTTCTCTGTCCCAGATATATTACTGTGTTTTCTATATCATCTATATCTAGTATGGTGAGAATATAAGCAGGAGGTTGGGTGCTTCTCCGTTAGTCTGCAATTTCCAACCATTCGGAGTGAGTGAAGTGAGGTGAAATTGGGTTTAACGTCGTGCTTGAGAATATTTCGCTCATATGACGACGTGCATGCGTGTGTATGTGTATGTGTGGCTGCTTGTACTAGCCCAGACTTAAGCTGGTTTTATAGTGCTAGCCCACTAAGATACCATGCCGCAGTGAAGCATGAATACCCCACTCAGACATGTTATACTGACTCCAAGCCGACCAGTCCTTGTTGTACCCATTAATGCCGAGGTCCAGGCAGGGTTGGAGTGAGTGAGTGAGTGAGAGTTGTTTAACTCTGCAGTCAGCAATATTCAAGCTATATCACTGCAGCATGTACATCATCAAGTCTCAGTCAGACAGACCAGTGATTGAGAAAATGAGCAACAGGGCAGGATGACACAACCATCCATGTCACGCATTAACACCATCAAATCATTAGTCCACTCAAACAAGAATGGGATACAAGGGATCTACTGAGACTTGCAATCCATATGGAGGAATGATGGAAGTAATCTGTTCCAAAAACATAAACAACAATGGCACCATAAACCATGTACCACATGGGCTGACATGGAAATGGTCACCTTAACCTGAGATTTTGAAAATGTGCTTTCATTCAAAAGCTGTGCACAATGCAGGAGAATCCCACCAGATGGTACCACTGGTGTCGCCCTTGGAGGGAACATGCAAGCACTTGTTAGTAAAAGTGGAACCATTTTGTCAACAAGTATTGTTTCAAACCATTTTCAGCAATATCACAGTCATCGCGACAAGAGACCGAGATAGGGACTCACATTACAGACCTGTATGGGGAATCAAACCCAGGTCTCCAGGGTTATGAGCAAGGCAGTAACCACAAAGCCACCCTACTGCCACAGAACCATTCACTGATTCAGTAATAATCTGGAATCATTGACTCTGCTCGCAAGGCATTCAAGCATAAGGCATAGACACAACATGATGAACTCTCTCAGTCTCAACTCTCCCAAGTGAAAGTTTCAGTTGGTGGCAACTAAAAATACAGGTGTCATCACTTTCAGGCAGTTCCTTAATCTGTGTCCACTCTGCCATTGCTCCCTATCCTTGTGTTTTCTGAAGCCTTGCTTGTATGGCCAAGATCCAGCTCTTGATAGTGTCAGCAAGGTTCACCCAAGATGTCCAGCTTGTACAGAGTTATACGACCAAAGAAATCTGTGCTGCTGTTAAACACTATTCTCATTACTTTGGTAACAGGCTCTTCTGACAGTTTAAATGTCTGCAAAAGTGAAAGAAATGTTCTTATTTTCCTGTCAACTCATTGAATTAAAAAGAAATAGAATCATGCTCTGCAGCTCACTTGAATTTTCTCATAAATGTTTTCTCATGACGATCGTACAGTGAAGTGTGTGCACAATAACTGTTACCATTACTCTAATGGGTCTACACTATTGGTACTACAGTGGATTACTTTGAAAACTTTTCAGAATTCACTAAAGAAAATCACTGACATGATTACTGTAACTGCTCACAAAACAAATGCTATAACATCAATGTTCTAGAGAAGTCAAAACTGCAGTGTCATTTGGTCCATGAGCTAAAACATAAAATAATGTTAAGCACGAATCACAAACACGCTATGCTTACTTGATGCTGAACAAGGATGTTTAAGGACGAAAGTGATATTCACCCTGTTTCACATCGGTTCAGAATTCTGTGAGCAATACCTGTGACCACATTAACTGATCATCCATACAAATTCTTAGCTTCCCTCATGTTTATAGATTTTGCTGGTACTTTGAGTTACGCCAACAGGATTTACACGGTTGACAGATAATCCACCAGAACATGCGATCCCTTGATTCTTTGGACAAAGTCAGTTAAGATTCCCAAAAGTGACTACCTGGAGTGAGTTGATATCTTCTGGGTAAAAGTCTGCCGTCTTGGTCAGATGAACTGCCTCCTTCCCTGTCTCGACCCAGCACTCCTTCCCAGCAAACCCGCCTTGAAACTGAAGCTGAATGTCCTTCACCTTCACATTGTGTTCAAAGTCCACCAGAATCCACTGTGGGCAGCCCTGTCAGCAGTAAATCAAGGATTGTCTAATAAATCTGCTGCCAGGTTAAAGTATGGATGGAGATTTTTTACTGGGTGGTGCCTTACGATGCTTGTGTGCTTAAACTACTTGTATGTCTTGTCCATAACTAATGGAGTGGTAGGTCATTACTACATGAAACATACACAAGGCTCAAAGTTTGAAAGTACTGATGGATATTTCTTTATCAGTGTATGACAGTGACAAAGTTTAACACTGCTTTGAACTGTATTTAACTTCTGCTTTGACATGGGTGACAAATGAGGGAATGTCACTGATCATGTTGATATACACATCTGACTCATTTGATGAATTGTTGAGATAAAATTGACTTCAACCCCAAATGTCTACATTTGTGCTTGTGATATATAATCACTTTATTAACATGATTAAGAGAAAAATGTATGAGCAAGGTGACTGACTGACTGAGTTTAGGTTTTACGCTGCTTTTAGCAATATTCCAGCAACATCACGGCGGGGGACACTAGAAATGGGCTTCACACATTGTACCCATGGGATTCGAACCTCGGGTCCTCAAACGCTTTGAAGCCATGGTTCTATGAGCAAGGTGAAGTGTTTCTACCAATATTAAGGCCATATCATGGATGCACCACATTGGGTATCGTGTCATATCAAACCCAGATTTCTGACATAAAGAACATCTTCATCTCTTTGTGACTTCATCTTCCACGAATACATACATGAAAAGAAACATGAATTGAATAACAGCCCTTTACTTATGTATTCACAATATAGAGCTTTAGGCCAAGTGCCTAGCATTATAATTAAAAATACGTGCATCTATCTGCATATAGTATTTCAGTTGATGTCACATCAGTACTCTCACATCGCTCCACACCTGATCTGAGTTCCAGCATGTATCCTCCTCTCCATCCGTCAGGTATTTCTTCCCAAACTGCTTTATGTCGCGGTTAAGAACTGAACTCACTCTAGAAATAGGAAAATAAATGTGTTTTAATAAAGTGCAAGATCAGCTTGCAATACATCATGAGACAGATGCTTGATAACTGTCTGATTATGAATCAATGGATCCAATGATAAACATTGGTGGAGAATAATTGATTAAGAAGGGATTTTTAAGTCGATTTAAAAAGAAATAATAGACGATCGGAAACGTGTGCTGTATATGCTACTGAGCACATTGCCAGACTTTTCTCAGGTGTTTTAACTATGTTAACGCACGATCCCTAAAAACGAGCGAAATGTGAAAAATGGAGTGACTTGGACTAACCCATTCTCAGTTCTTTCTCAAAGAGTTTTCATGTTCACCGAATCGTTTACATTGTCAGTGGTAAAATTGTAAAAAAGATACAACTTCGAAGACCACCAGACTTTCGTGTTCATAAATTTCCAAAAACACATGCCTGATTTGAGTTTTCGCGTGCAACAAGGAGGCAGCCATATTTAACATAAGCTGGTTTTTATGTCGTAATATCAGGTAAAGTCGTCCACATAACTGTTCATGCGAGGTTCCTTGTAAATATAAACCATAGCCAAATGAAAAGGATATGAATGAGGATATGTTATATTATTTAAGAAAGGATATTAAATATTGAAAGCGAACATTATTGATATCATCAATCGGAAACCAAACTGTTTTGCAGCTCCGCATCGCGAAATAAATACAAACCTGTGCACCTGTTAGCATGCCTAGTTGGGTGTAGACGCTGCTTGGAGTTCAAGCTACAGCAGTCGACGTTATGTTCGTGAGAGCCTGTCAAAGAGTTTACCACAAAATGCCAACTGGGAAGAAAGGACACAAAACTAGCAAGGCACCAAATCCAGTATGCTTAGATGATTATATCTGAATTTTTTTTTAAACAAATGATATGATACTTAACTAGATCTACAAAGATATCTCCACATGTGTGATAGTTTATCGTTTTGGTATGGTTTTGTTTTGTCTGTTTCACAGTCCCTGAACCGCATTATTTTCCCTACTGCCAAGCCCCCTCTTCAGTGCTAAAGCCCTAAATAAAGCAAGTCTAGATTTCCTCTGAATCCCTGGTCTCCGTGGGGCTCCTTTTCAATTTAAATGGGCTTGTTTGTTACTATCAAAATTATATATATTCAGAGACTAAGCATTAGTCAAGGTTTTGTTGAGCAAAGGCTGTTCAAGTGCAAACCATTATGTGTCATGCTAGTACATGGGCTAAGTATAAATAACTGGGATATATTATAAAAACAGTGATGCCAAGATACATGGCCCATTTCAGGAGATTAGGAGTTGCCAGATTGAACACTGTTTTGTTTTGTGAAACCCCTTATTGTATTTGCGGTCAGGTGAAACTGAAAGGTGTGCATTTCTTGTTTGGGTCAGGCTTGGTGTTTGTTATAAGAACTGATATAGAGCTTTGGGTAGTCAGATCCCATAGCTTGACTGCGCATAACTGTTCCCAGATGGTGCAAGTGGTTGCTCAAGGTTTGTCTCTGTTTTGCCTTATCTAGTCACACTTATTTTCATGCCTCAGTGATACTCATATCTGAAATATGAGAAATAATAAGGACTGCAAGTTGCCAAGTTCATATGTTGAAATATAACTTCTCAATCTATCTCAGTTATTTTATCGATCCACCGGTATGCAAGCTAAGATTTGACATGGTTGTGTGTACACATGTAAGATCAAATTTATTGAGTATTTACAAAAATTCAAGCGTACTGGTATGCAACAGGAATGGAGTTTTCACATAAATGTTTGCGTAATTTACGCAGATATGCAGCTTATCTGTACCTCTGCCCAACTGCGCAGATCGATGCTCATGTTGTTGATCACTGGATTTTCTGGCCCAGACTCAATTATTTACAGACCGCCGCCATATAGCTGGGATATTGCTGAGTGCGGTGTAAAACTCAACTCACTCACTCACCTCTGCCTGACGTACAATTGCTCATAACATCAATTACTGGATTAGAGTTGATTATTTATCAGGAATATCTCGAATTGCTGAGGCATGCGGTCATCAATAAACAAACTAAGTAAAACACTATCTGCATAAAGTGTCTTTCAGTGTGCACGAGATGAGTCACAGCAAAATATGGTAGAATTAATATTGAAAAGTGTTGGATTCACATGCACGCCTGGTTTGCCCCTAATATGTTTCCAGTAAGCTTGTCAGCCCCTACCCATGCATGTGGATTTTGTCAGAACTTCCACATTATTCTGACATGAGTGCCTGGAAAACATTTAAAGTAGTATTAAATCCTACTCACTCACTGACTAATGGAAAACGTAAATCCACAAATATTCAAGACTGACCCAGAAAATCCCAATAAGAACAAGCCCCTACTTAGAAATTCACACCTTTCAGTTTCACCTTACTGCAAATACATGAAGTGGTTTCACACAAAAAATATTGCACAGTTCAGACATTTAAAATGGTTGATTAAAATGAAAGACAAGTGGTATGTTTGTTTTTTAAATAAATTTAATATACAGACCTTAGTTTGTAACTAATCAGCTTTCATTAAATTTGTTTCCAAAATATCATCACCATAGTTTTCTCTTGACCTGTGGCCTATAGTGCATGCTTTTTTTACTTATTTTTTTTTGTCACTGGATTGAATGCAGTGTTAAAGTACGAGTTTAAGAAAGTAAGAATTTAACACTAAAGTTCCTATTTTGACACAAATTATTTTCCCCTTATAGATTCCCACAGAAGAACCTGGAGCTGTTAGTTTGAACAGTAAAAAAACAATATAACTGTCAAGGTGTTAGCAAAACCAGGAGCCAAATACAATGGGGTCACTGGTAAGTGCATGTTGGAGGATGTTACAATGAAAACTATGTCACTGGTAAGTATCGGTAAGTATTCTCATCCATGTTAAGATCCAGTGGCATCTCTTGTGTAACATGAATGTAAAATTCTTTGATGCATCTCAAGTTTAACCCTAATGATAAGATGTATTGCTTCATGTGATAATTCTGAATCACTTTTTAAAAAAAATAATGTTTACTATGTTTTGCAATAACAGTTGCTGATAGCAACTTGGGCTGGAGTTAAGGTGACCTACATCACAAAGTTCACTTCCCTGTGAAGATCCTGGTTAGATTGGGACTTCAGCATTCCATGGTTGTTGTAAGAGTAGACCAACAGGATCATGTGGTCAGTTTAGCTGACTGGGTTGAATGCATGTTGTTTACCAAATTCGTTGATTTGATGTCAATCACTTGATTGTTTGGTCCAGATTACTTAGAGACTGCCTTTGTTTTGCTGGAATATTACTTCGTGCAACATTAAGAACAAACATAGGTTAAGTGATCAACCTGATTGATACAGCCCAAATTCCCAAGTCATTCATGTTAAACAGGAGGCTTCATGCAAAAATGGCTAAAATTGAAGGCACAATGTCACACTTTTTCGACGATATTTTGGTCTCACTTTGGCTTCCTATTGATGCAATAAAAGACTTATTATCCCTTATGACTTGCCTGAAATTGATAACTAAAACTTTGAGGTGAACAGCTTCCAAACAGAGAACACTTGCCATATGTGGAATGTAAACAATTGCTCTGTACATCGAAAACGGTTGCTTATGGTGTTGTGACACTGGTTAACTATGGTAATAATCAGACATCATCACCCACTCACTACCAGTACAGAATGTTAATCTGGATTATTAGTGTAATGGATTGTATGAGTTATTCAGCTTACGACTCCTGTGGTTGTTTGTATATCATCTCAATAGTGGGGATGTTGTTCAGTCACAAGTTTTCGTAGCTCCAAGGGACATAACTCTGTGGGGTTAAGCTTGAAATAATGTTAGATCAAGAGACGTTGCATTAATTCAATTGAACTTTTTATTTAATATTGTAATCTAAATGTATGTAAATTTGTGTTGTGATGTATTTTGAGAGAAATGCATTATTCATATTTAGAGAAGTGGTGTGAAGTGCATTTATATTGGAACACATATGCATAATTATTGTGATGTACCAATGTACAGATACGTGAGGTAGACGTTGAAGTAAGGTATGATTACAATCCCCCTGTGATCTGGAATCTGCAAGGATCTTGTGGTGATAGTGAGATTCACAGCCCTACTCTGGGCTCATTACTAGACTGACTGTAAATTGTTGTGATGCTTGTTGCAGACATGAGCCCTGAAGGTGTTGGTGTGCAGATAGCAGCTCCTCCTATGGAAGGTGAAGCCAATGCAGAACTGGTTAAATATATGGCCAAAGTGCTTGGAGTTCGTAAATCTGATGTCAGCCTTGATAGGGTAGGTTAAGGAGTGGTCATAAAGCAGCAAGTGGGTATAAACAGCCTGCACTTATCATGCATGGTATAATGTATGCCAAACTATATGTTTATCATTACCATTCAGCTGTAAAAATGTTTCACAGCCATAAAATGTATCCACATGTTACATGACTGTGTTCACAAGATAACACTATGGATTTATCAAGGCTTCCTTTTCCCTTTCTATAAAGTATAAACAATATATTCTAAAACAAAGTGGCAAAAATCCTGCTACTGAGTAGTTTATTTGGTAAGAAAGCGTAACAGCTTTGCTTTTAGACACCTCAGCAGTGTTGGTGAAACTTCCTCGTAACATTTAAACAAAAATTGTAATAAGCTGTCTGCCTGCATACATTCTTGAAGCATCCTTCTAGATCTTATAGTTGTATATTTGGTCAGTACTTTGGTATTTCCAGTTGTGAAGGATGATATGCTAAGTAACAAGGGCACTGCAATCAAGTTCAACTTTGTGAAAAGACAGTTATCTGAAAATTATTATTTCATGTCTGTTTGACAGGGTTCAAAGTCAAGAAACAAGATGTTGGTGATTTCTGGAGATGTGACTGTGGATGGTGTGGTAGCAAGTTTACAAAGAGAGATCAGTAATGGCTGAACATCACTCTTCATCATAATTATGACCTGGGCCACTGAATATTTCCCTGCTGACCGCTGAGTGTTAAGAAAGCAAGGCAGACTTCAGTTGAATGTCCCCAAGCAGACAGTTGATGCTAAACCAATGCTAGTCAATGGAAACTGCTCAGACCAGTAAGACCACATGTCAGGCAACACAAAGAGTAACAGGATGGTCTGTATCGTCACTGATGTTTTTAGAGCACATATATGGAGGATTCCATGCTGTCAAGATTGTGGGCAGTATCCCATTGGAAGTGAACGGAAGCATGATACATTGCCTCTTGAATGTATGTTCTACTGAATATTGATCAGCTGCTGAACTCTACCAGCTGCCACCATATCTGTAAAGTTCTGCATAAAAGTGATGCTATTCTTCATCATGGGTTCATCAGGTTCCAACAATACTCTGTAGACATTGTTCCACTGATAACAGTACTGAAGATTTGCTGCTTTCAGGTTTATATTAACTTGGCCAGTACTGTTTTGAATTCAACAAGTAAACAAAGGGAATAGAAAATGATACACTTAATAAACTGAAAAACTGTCTGAATAAGGTGCATGGTTATTCAAATGTGTTGTTAATCACTTGAAAAGACTCCACACATGATGTGTGAAGCCTGTTCTCCTTGTCTGCCTCTGATGATATATGGAGATTATTACATGAGCAAGTGTGTCATACGACTTATACGAAACGAGTATGAAATTTTGTATGGCCCGAGCGAGAGCGAGGGCAATACACAATTTTGCACAAGTTGTGTGGCACACTTTCTCGTGTAATAATTTCTTTATTATCCATTATATTCAAGAACATTTGTGCAGTAAAATACGGTAAGCAAGTGTAACTGCCCTGTTCATTGACGTATTGTATCTGATTTCAGTGTAATATTATGATTTCAAGTTATTAGTCAGCTTACAACTCCTGTGGTTGATTGTATATCATCTCAATCAAACAGTGGGGGATGTTGTTCATATAACCATGCCATCAGTCACATGTTTCGGAGGTCCAGTCTCGGGTATTTCCAGGACAATATAACACTAGAATATTGCTGACTGTGGTGTTTAACAAGCTTTCAACATTAGTATACACTACTTAATCACTGTATGCTATGTTACCTCCATGGCATGTGATGGTGGTAATGTACTGTGCTGGGTGGTATTCTTAGCCATACCTGGATCCACTGGTCAGGTTCAAATCCCATGTGAAAACCACTGCATGTGATGATCCTTGGCCTATTAACACCATTGCCCAGCTTCTGAGGTGTGTCGGGGCGGTGGGGTAACCTTGTGGTTAAAGCGTTTGCTCGTCATGCCGAAGACCCAGGTTTGATTCCCCACATGGGTACAATGTGTGAAGCACATTTCTGGTCTCCCCTGCCGTGATATTGCAGGAATATTGCTAAAAGCGGCTTAAAACCATACTTACTCACTCACTCGGGTGTCTCACAGTGGTACATCTTTATAAGCGACTCTATTGACATTAATCATAAAAATATAGGAACAATGTTGAGTTTGACTTGAATTAGACTTGCTCAGACTGTCAGTTGATCTGAGCATAGTCCATCTTCAATGTTTGTGCTAGACAGCCATCATTAATGCACGAGTTCAGTGTTATTCATGCCATGATCGTATTGTAAAGTGTATTTCATTTCTGAAAAAGAAAGTGGTTCAGGGATTAGCCATATATTATATAGATTCGCATGGGGCCAAGAGTACCAACAAAATCAACCTTCCTCAAAGTATGCAACTGTATTTGTGACCTGTTTTGGTGAATCATCTGTATACAGCCACAAGTGTGTAAATAGAGAATACTTAAACGATGTCCCGTGTAATACCATATTTATGAAACAAGTGAAAGGTTTGGTATCTAACGAGTGAAAGCGAGTTAGATACCAATACCATTCACGAGTTTCATAAATATGGTATTAGACGGGGCATCGTTTAGTATTTTATTTATTACTCACTCAACATTAGCAAAATAATATCGAGAAAAGTACTTCTTTCCTAAGAATTCGGCAAGCCTCGGATATTTGTTACTTTATCAACTTGTGGTGATCTGTTTGATATCAAAAGACACTCGGGTGAGATTCTCTATATACTTAAAATGGTATATTGTTTGTTTCCAAACACTTTTACCTCCATGGCTGCGTATCAGCCGACATTCATTTGCTGTTTCATGGAGACCCCTTTAGTCAAATCATATATTTCAGCAATTGCCTTGGAATGCATGTGATATAAACAAGGCATATTATTGTACAGGGTATTTCAGGGTGTGTGTCCATCTGTAGCTGCACCTAGGGGCCAGCTGCTCAGATAGAGTAAACATGTTGAAATGTTGAACTGGCGATCATATAACGTTATATACTGCCAGGAGTGGAAGTCCAGTGATAATGGGTCACCTAACTAGTAACTACTAGACTGGTTAGTTTTTTTATTTGTCAACATTCATCTATACCAGTGAATGTTTTATTATCATTCATTATTTAAGTAAAAAGAAGCTCAGTGCTAAGTACATGAAATTAAGTGAGTTGTTTTTAGAACAGTATTTTACCACAGTGTTTCAGCAGGGAGGCCAGCCCAAATTAGTCAGTGATGTCCCAAATTCCTCATAGACATGACACTCCATTACCTACAGCCTTGTCCATCTTGACCACCAGCAAAGCAATGTAATTATATTAACCACCAGCAAAGGAATGTAATTATATTAATTTTACACTCGAGTATGTTAATGGACTTACAACTTTGAGGCAATATCTTGATGACAGAATTATTTTCAGGCAATATTCAGCCCAGCATTTACTGAGAAAAAAAGCTATACTTATGTAACAAAATCAGTCATGGCTGTGACACATGTGACAACAAAACTGATTCTCGAAATTTGGACTAATTTCTCATAACTATTTGACCATAGAAATGTACAAGTTTGGAAGGACAGTGCTAATCAACTCGTTTCTGATCAAATCTTTATTAATGATACAACATTTACACAATATCTTGTGGAAACAAATATAATGTACAAGTGAATGAACTTTCTTGATATACTGCAAACTGTGATCAACGTATAACAGTATACATGTGTAACAAGTGAAAGTTGCTACATTACATGGTGAGCAATCATCAACCTATATCAAAGCAGGCTGGAAACTATCCTTCCAGAGTCTGTTCAACAAAGCCATCTTAAGAAAGTAAGATTCTTTATGGATAACAACTTCTTTATTACATATGTCATGATGCAACGTTTTGGTATGGATTCTTAGACTGTTGTCAAACAAGAGTGACTTTTGCTTGACAACGGTGTAAGAATCCATACCGAAATATCGCATCATATATAATAAAGTTGTTATCTATAAAGAATCTTACTTTCTTATTACTCACCAGCTTCTAAAATGCCAATCAAACAGATCAAAGCCATCTTAGCGCTAAGATGTTCATAACTCCCATACTTTAACAAAGCCTTATGACAGTCATGAGATTGTGCTGTGGAATGGGACCCTGGGCCAGTTGATGAAAGCATTACCAATGGACTGCAGTCAACTGTTACACTTAAGACTCCAGTTCATCCAAACATTTGTTGGCACTTTGGTTAACAATTATATCTTAGGGATCAGCCCATACTGCAGAATCCGGCTGACACCAATCAATGTACATTGTATTTCCATGTAGACATACATCAAACACAAACATTTATATATTCACTATATCTGTATCTGAGTAAATTCACAGCATGGAATTCATATTTGGTCTGGTTAAATCCATTTTGGGCTGGTAACATTTTGAACCAGCCCTGATGTCTGGCTGGATCTTTGGCTTAATTCATACACTGTTATTGACAAAATATTTTTGTCACCAAAATAACCAAGAAATAACAAAATTATATTTACTGTATGAAAGAGAATGTAAACATAAATAATTGCATAGTGATCAGGTAAAAGCAGCATATAGTGGATTTATAATAATTGAACTACAAACTCTCGGTTGCAGATGATACTGTTTCATGGTTTGTGATAAATCATTGACCATACATTCATGTATCCCATATTTATACTTGTTAGTTATTCTTTACTGATTAAAGGTTGTATCTTTCCCAATTGTTATCTAAATCTTTCCTGTTTCATGCACAAGATTATCACCATGATGTCATTGTGGTTCTTACTGACGTCATTATCTGTCTTTATATTCATCAAACTTTCTTGATTGTGTCCCAAATTTGAAATACTGGGCATGTGCCTTTCATGGTTTTCTTTTGTCGTCAACATGCTATCACCTTCGACATCATCTTCTTGTCATTTTTTATTTTCATTTACTGTATTATCACCATACAGAGGCAGATCTCTTATTTTGAAAATGAGAAAGTAGGCATGATATCATTTTCATGCATGCAATGATACACCAAGTAAAACATGAACTCATGATAGATGAATAGACACAAGCTAACATGCAAGGTGTCTCAAACAACAGGGTTGGGTGCACACACCTATATTATAATTGTCCCTGCCTGTATTTTCAGTTATTTTATTCAAATGATTAATCAGCATCATCTTCATCCTCCTCCTCATCATCATCTTTTATCTTTGATTTGTTTTTTCTTGACCTAAGGTAATCTTCCAGATCTTGTCTTTTAAACTTTCGGTTTCCATGCTCCTCCTCCTCCTCATCATCACCACCATCCTCCTCCTCATCTTCCTTCTCCACCACCTCATCATCATCATCATCATCTTTCCTCTTTGATTTGTCTTTTATTGACCTAAGGTCATCTTCTATATCTTGTCTATTTAACTCCTCCTCCTCCTCATCATCATCTAGATCATCATCATCATCATCTAGACTGCTTAATTTTCTTCTTTTGGTTTTTAGATCAGCATCAGTATCCTGCTTTTTTGATTTTCCTTCATCATCATCATCATCTAGACTGCTTAATTTTCTTCTTTTGGTTTTTAGATCAACATCAGTATCCTGCTTTTTGGATTTTCCTTCATCATCATCATCATCTAGATCATCATCATCATCATCTAGACTGCTTAATTTTCTTCTTTTGGTTTTTAGATCAGCATCAGTATCCTGCTTTTTTGATTTTCTTCATCATCATCATCATCATCTAGACTGCTTAACTGCTTTTTTCTTCTTTTGGTTTTTAGATCAACATCAGTATCCTGCTTTTTGATTTTCCTTCATCATCATCATCATCTAGACTGCTTAATTTTCTTCTTTTGGTTTTTAGATCAACATCAGTATCCTGCTTTTTGGATTTTCCTTCATCATCATCATCATCTAGACTGCTTAATTTTCCTCTTTTGGTTTTTAGATCAACATCAGTATCCTGCTTTTTGGATTTTCCTTCATCATCATCATCTAGACTGCTTAATTTTCCTCTTTTGGTTTTTAGATCAACATCAGTATCCTGCTTTTTGGATTTTCCTTTGCCAAACATGTTAACATCATAATCATCATCATAATCATCATCATCAAAAAAATCATCCAATTTCCTCTTTGACTTGCCTTTTCTTGATCTCAGGTTGCCTTCCTTATCTTGTCGTTTTCGCTTTGTCATATCAGACTTCCGATCATCATCATCATCATAATTCTTTCTTGATTTTTCCATCCTAGGCTTAACATCTTCATCTTGATCATAGATAAAGTCATCAAAATTATAATGATCATTGTCATTCTTCTTGTCCTTTTCCACATAATCTGGAAAACAATATATACCAGTATTAGGTACGGGGTAGTCAACAGAACAAAAACACTGCGGTTGTTATGAACGCAAAATTGAAAACACATAATTTGTTTCAGCATTATAGATATAGAAGTTATCTAACTTTCATCATCACAAGAATCTTTGGAGCTGTGGTCATAAAAAATATGGTGTCATATGGTTCCTTTTCAACAGAACAGAATAGAAACAAAGTTCAATAAATGCAATGATTTCTGTCGAATTGTAATTAAACAAAATTTGCTCAAAACAATACTTACATGTGATCATGTAAATTTCATGATGATAAGAAATTAACAATAGCTGATAACGGCTGGAAGTAAGTAGTAAGATTGATCAGCCCTAAACCGTGTGCACACTTAAGTACACATGACAAGAAATACATGAGGAGCTGCCATTTTAATAAGGCCAAAAAAAATAAATGTTGTGGTTCCGATTTCCTACATTTCAGAACTAGGGTAGGTAGGTAGGTTTTAATTATTTTTTTTGCAAAATATTTTTACATTACTCATGTGTCAGAAAATAAATTTAATTTATTATGTGGTGAGTAAAATTGTTAGGCTCCGTGGGAATATTTAGGGTCGGTCGGGAAATCGGAACCACAAGCTTGCTTTTTTTTAGGCCTAACTGGATCTTAAGGAAAGATCCTTCCCTTCCCCAACATCATTCATGGTGAATGACAATAAAAAGATATTTCACCTTGAGTTTACAAACAACTGCTTGACAAAATTTGATGTAAAGTTTTAAATTTGTTCATCCTTTCAGTTGAAAAACAATTTATGATGAATAAACAAATGAATACAGAACCTTATACATTACAATCAGGATATGAATATTCAGTCATGATTTCAGAAAACATATTTCATCACTATCAGCACCAACAATGGCTCAGCTATAGTTTGAAAACAGTATTTTGGACTTTTCAGTTACATCCCTTGCACACACCAGAAACCTATGATCATGGTTTGTCCCAGATAAATCCTGGTTTGCCCAATTTTGTTTCAGCACAATATCAGTGCTTATGGGATACATCAAAGTGGTAAAATTTGAAGACATGGATAATTTTACTATGGGCATTAAGCCACCATGCCTAGATGTACCCGAAAAACACTTCAAAATGGTATTGCCCAACTCAAAGTGAGGTTCCTGCTATATTTAATAAAATTTTAACCATGATGTGTAAAATTTCCTGCTGTCATGAACTCAATTTACAGTCCAAAGAAACAAAACTGTTACTATCCTATAGCGTAAAATTTTGCCACCTTACTTTTTTTTCTTCAATTGTCTTTCTTTCAGCATTTACCCCTATTAGATGTTTCTTTTGAAGTTGATTTACTTATCCCATCAGTAGCTTATTTATACCTACCTGACGATTTGCCACTTGCTGACTTTGACCTTGAATCACTTACTGTTCCTTGTTTTGATGAATCAGAGTTAATATTATTCTTACTCTGAACACCTTTAACTACTTTTCTTTGTTCTGGTTTGCTCTTTGACAGAATTTGACGCAGTTCTTTCAATAGGCGGTTTATTTTTTCCAGAAGAGACTTGCTGCTAGATGAAATAGACTTGCTATCAGACGATTTTTTCTCGTCCTGTTTGCCTTTAGATGGTTGAACTTTGTCACTTGATGACTTTGAATTGCCTTTAGTTGATTTTGCCTTGTCTTGTTTGTCACTTCGTAATTTTGACTTATCAGATTCATTCGTTGTTCCCTTTTCTTTCCTGTCTTTGTGTTTGCCTCTTGATGAACTGGACTTGACATCAGGTGATTCATCTCTCTTGAGTTGTGTAGACATGCTGTCCCCTGTATAACAAATAATTAATTACAGACATTTTTGATAACATTTGGTAGATTATATGAAAAAAAAACCCACCCCAAAACATTATTAGTATTCTGAGCCAAGGACACAAACACCATACATTGGTGTTAGAACTTTTCTTGCAAACCTAATGCTATTTCCTTGTACCCCCTAGAACAGTCTTGTTTCATATATAGCTAGCAAGTAATCAGTGGGCCATCAGGGTACTGGGCACCCTGAGATTTGCTCCTGTAGTATTTGTATTTAGGTACCCTTTAAATTTTCAACTTTTAACAGTCAATAATTAATAATGCAAATATTCCAGAAATATGTAGGTGACCTGCAGTGCCTAATGGTTCTAGTTGGTATATTCCAGGTCTGGTTGCATAGACATGAGACTTGCCCACACCTTTCTGACTTCTCTTTTGTTGATTCCGTTTGTCAACCTTACCTGCAGTATTTACTCTAGGCCTTTTCCCTGATACCTTGTCTAGTAATTTGTGCAGACCCTGTAGGGATTGCCTGAAACAGAATCACTTATTCTTAAATGACCTGTGGTAAATGGGCTCATCATTCACAGAAATACATGAGTTATAAGACATAACCAGGGGTGGAAATAACTTTAAAATTGCTAGTGTACTCCGGTACAGTGGCACATGTAAAATCACTTGCCCTGATAATTTTTCCACTATACCAGCTATTTTCTTGTTGATATTTTACATAAAGAACATAATTAACATTGAAAAGTCAACTGGACACCGGTACAGTGTGATATACAAATTTGCTAGCCCGACAGAAAAAAACACTGGACTCGGGCGTCGGGCAATGGGTTATTTCCACCCCTGTTATCATAACCTCTTCAGTGGTTTAAAGATCCTCTCATGCCCTTGACAAGTGGATTTTCAATTCTGCAGGCAAGTATAACTTGCTGTTACTTCTTGCCAGTGGTAAGTGGATATTTTGAGGGACAAAAAATCTGTACTTATTAAAGATTTTAAACCCTGTTACAAATTTTCCCCAGTTAAGCAGTGTGTTGATGATTAACATATAATCAAGAATGTCCCATATTGTCAACAAGGAGGCTAGAAAATGAAGAGCACAATGAAACAATAAAACGAACACTGTTTCACACATAGCACTTGATATTGAAAATACAGTGACTTGAAATGGGTACATTTGTACCAGGTGATTGAACATAACATTTTTGTTAAAATGATATGAAATTAAATATAATTAAAATCATGAGACCCATGAAGATTTGGGATAAAATTGGTCTTCAGCTACCTATGCTTGTAAGGGATTAGGTGGTCAGACTCGCTGATTTGGGTGTCTCATGTCATGTTTTGTAGATCAATGCTCATGATGTTGATCACTGGATTGTCTGGTCCAGACTCGATTATTAACAGACCACCGCCATATGGCTATAATACAGTTGAACACAGCCTTAAACAACAGACAAAACCAACAAAATATAATTATGAATCATAATTATGGCTGGATTTAGCGGCAGTTTCCAGTCCTGATTATAGGACAACCATAAGTTTGTAGTGAAAGATGATAAATTGAGAACATAGGCATTTTTTTAAAGCTGAGGTTAAATTATCAGTTCCCTAGAGGAATATGCAAAAGATGCCATGTGAGAGTTATTCCCCTTAGTCGTAAGGTCTCTCCTTGACCTGAGACGTGTAACATCGAACAAACGTAAATTAGCGAACATGTTGATGCTAATTACATCTTGTTCTTAACTCTGCCTCGTTCGTTGTTCATAGAAGAAGGTACAGTTACGAGATCATCATGTTTCCAAATCTGATAGTCATGCGGCAAGCAAACGCGGTCTTCTTGATAGACCGGATCATATCCAAATACATACGTACAGGTACATGACGTGCATACAAAAGGAAATATCAAAGTTATTGATACTTTTCCCCTAAGCACACAGTTATAAACTTATATTAAAAGAAACTGGTTCTGAAACAGTAACGATATGGACACCGTTTGTGTCCATGGTCTAACAAAAATTGGGATGTCAAATCCACAAATTCTCTTCAGGTTCTTACCCGTTTTCGGTTTCTTCAAAATCTTCATCTCCATAGCCGTCTTTGGGCACTCTATATGACGCACATGGAAGCAGGAGTATACACAAAAGGGTTATCTGTTTCCACATTTGGAAGGTTCTTTCCTTATGACATGCTGGACAATAGTTTACATTTCTTGCATCGTGCTGACTGTTGTCTTTCACAGCAGTTGTGTTCAACGTCATTGGTTTGTGTGTGACGTCATTATTATTGCACGTTCTATATGCCGCGAATTATTTGACGCAGCAACCGATGCTGTCCGTACATTGTACGATAAACTGGATTGTATGGTCAGACTCGCTTTCTTCCTGAATTAATTTCATTGCATCCGAATTGCTCATATCATTGTACGTATTGTGTCAATTGCTGGGCCAGGCTCGAGTATTTACAGATATTCGTTTTCATATGTTATTAGGTGCGAATCGACGTGCTAATTAAAGAAAAAGAATAAAACACAAACATACATACATATGGTCTGGCATATATAACATATATGCACCAATATTTCCATGGTCCTTTAAAAAGTATTAACGTGAGGTGAGTGTGTGCCTCTTACAATATTAGTGCATATATAGTACTGAATTCCAGAGACTCGTAATTAACAGGGCCCGGTTGTTCAATACTCGGTTATCTTAACCGCCGGTTAACTCCTAACGACCGGTTAAACCCTTAACCGGCCGTTAGCTAACCGAAAGTTAAATATGCCGTTAAATTCAGTTCCATTCCATTTCCAAATTACCATCTTTCGATACCATGTGAGAATGTTCTGGACACGTTTTGTATCCAATATCTTAAAGAGTTATATGTTACGCCAAAGAAATCAGCACACCAAAAGTACCTTAGCATGCATACAATTTAAACTTACTCCATACCTAAAATCATGAATATGTCATACCTAATTCTTACACGAAGAACATTTGTGGCTGTGTATACTATCATAGTATACACATACTACCAATGTTTCAAATTTCGACAATATACCACCTTTGATGAAATAATAAATTTTGTTTTATCTAAATGACACATTAATCATGTCTTTTACAAAATTCCTACTCACATTCAACACTTTGTTGTAAGCCAAAGTCAAAACGAACAGAACGGAAGAAATAACTGTATGTCACAGTTTGGGAGATATTTGCTGTTACCACACTGCCTTCGACTTCATAAGAACATGATAGAGGACTTAATATCCATCCCTACTGTAAACTCCACGTGCAAATAACTAATTAAATTTGACGCATGAATTGACACAATTACAAACAATTTGGTAATATGTTTGTAGTGAGTGAGTTTAGTTTTACGTCGTTTGAGCAATATTCGAGCAATATCACCGTGGGGGACACCAGAAATAGGCTTCACACATTGTACCCACTTGGGGAATCGAACTCGGGTCTTCGGCGTGACGAGCGAACGCTGTACTACGTAAATTGGCTACCCCACTGCCCAATATATTTGTGACTCCCCTGGTTATTTCATACAAATTTCATAACAGTGCATAATTAATAATTCAACATTGTGATAAAGTCAGTATCGTTTAACAGTCACGTTTAAACTTCAACTATCTTTTATTTTGGCAACATTAGATAAAAAAGTCTATCTCTTGTTTAAAATGTGTAGGCTACACATAGTTTACTGCGGGTACTTGTTACTGGTATTCCTCTGCAGTTGTTAACCTGTATTTGTACATCGGAACATTCAAACCACAGGAAGAAACAGGACCGATCAAACAAAACTATACTCACACGCAAAAGTAACGCAAGTCAAGTATAAAGAATATATGTATGTTATTTTCAATATTAGATACAAGAAATACGAACAGGGTCAGCTAGACAAAAAATTGAGTGAAGACATTTCATTGGTTACCAAGACTGATGACATAATTAAGTTTTCGAAAGGTAAAGGGGTTGACAAGAACGGATCTCGCTGGTGTTGACAGGAAATGTGCCGAACTTGTCTAGGGGTGGTGACCCTTGGACGACTGCTCCGAGGAAGGTCATCTATGGTCTGTGCAGTGTTGTATCGATGCTGGAGACGGTAAATCGTGGTTATGTTTACGTCGAAATGACGGGCAACATTTTGGACAGACTCCCCAGCTTCCAAACGTCCGATAGCCTGGTTTCTTTCAATTTGAGTTAAACGTTGCATTGTTGAACGAGGAGTGATAGACCCAACTTTTGTGCAGTCTTATACCCACCAATGTTGGTGTCAATTCGTCCATGTTCGATATCACGAGAAGTGTGTGCATGATACCCACATGTTCATTTGTATGGTGCGTTTTGGTGATTCCTACTATTGGTGTGTTTTTACTCGGGCCTTCCAAAACGCAACAAAAAGTATTGATAACACCATCAGGCTTCATATCAATTAGGGTTCCGAGTTTGTTTCCTGTTTGGATAAAAAAACTTTGCGTTTCTTATGCGTGTGAGTATATAATGAAAACATCAGCATCGAGAACAAAACACATTTTGCACATTTTAAATAACTCCGCCATAGCGTGATCACTTTCTGATAATTTAATTCTACAGTAGCTGTTGATATAGGATCTCTTGCAATCATGAATCAAGAATAATATTCCTTGTATACCATTGTCCAATATTCCATCCACGCTCCTGTCATCATTATCACGGTCAACAAGTATCCTTTCTGTGTGAGTGAGTGAGATTAGTTTTACGCCGCTTTTAGCAATATTCCAGCAATATCACGGCGGAGGACATCACAAATAGGCTTCACACATTGTAACCAAGCAGGTAATCGAACCTGGGTCTTCGGCGTGACGTGCGAATGCTTTAACCACTGGGCTACCCCACCGCCCCGTATTCTTTCTGAATACTGAGCAGTTAACTCCAAAACAATTCTTTTATCATTCAAATTACTTACTGAGTTATCTCTAAGATTCATAATGATTTTATACCGTATTTATTTCTGGCATTTACATAAACCTTGTAGAGACAAATAATTTTACCACACACTATTAAGAATGTGTCGTTTTAATCTCAGACGCATTATTTGTTATGCCAGAGAAATGTGATTAACATTTACGTTTTGTGTTTCGCACATTTTGCTGCCTGAAAAACTGCACATGTAATAATTTGAACATACATCGCAGAAGGAGTACGTGCTCTCGGAAGTCTTCAGCTTATAACCCGGATCTGAATGGGGCACTTGATGTTATTATTGAGTCAAGTACACTTGTACCTATTGAATACACAAATGTCCATATAACTGCAACAGAACATGGCTATTATTTCTAATATCGTCCCGGATGAATTATTTTTGCTTCAGAGCATATTAACAGCGATTAAAATCAGTATATCGTGATGCTGTACATATCGTCCTCAATATAATCACGGTCTGAACCCATTCTTGCATTAATGTCGCCAAGAGATACAGTGACGTCAGTATATTCCTACAGAACCTCATATCAAGGGAACACATCGTGTAAGTCACGTATACTAAACTTTGATGACGCATTTCTGTACCAGGTTGAACTCGCTGTAAAAGTACGCCCGTTTAAACATCCTTGTCAATATCACACTTACTTAAGTAACAATCTGAAGAGTATGCTCTGTGTCCGGTGTTTGCTATTTAAAACAAATACACTGCCCGACAGTCTACCCATGGTGGTGATGTTTCTTTTCTGCAGAGACACTAAAACACACGTACCCTATATAGTGTGTTGACGTCTCGCCGTGTTTTCCGTTACACCAACAATATGTTTAAAGATTTAATGGGTATCTTTTTCGGTTAGGTATAAATAGAAAAACCGATGTGCAGATTATATGGATCCATGTATTCGACAACACAACCATGTTGCATCTACAACAGATTAACCAAAACAATCATAAAAATGAAAGCAGGCGTGATTGAGGCGTGACGTGAAATAGGTGTCTTTCTTAATTTATGCACATAACACACGCCCACAAACTCAGTGGCCAATCAACCTAGAGCATGAAAACAAAGTTCATGAGATATGCCAACCAAGGCAGGAGACGAGAACAGCAAAGTCAGACCGTATTGCAAGCCGTTTTCACAGTCATTTCGAAATTACTGAAATCTTCAATTGTTTTCAAGATAACTATTCTGAATTAAATTGAAATGATTTGAAGATATCTTGTATCTTTGAAGGATAATTGTCGAAATCTGCAATATAATGCAAGCTACCACGATTAGGATATGATGAAGCATATTACTGATATCTTGAAAAGAACGGATGATATCTTAAATTAGATTAATAAGGTCAGAATAGGATCTGAAGAAGTACACAAATTAATGTTGCAATGATTAGAATCATTCTTTTCTTGTTTAGAGCGAACCAAAGATCTGTACAAGTGAAGGAGGGTAGTCTGATCCTCTCCCCACTCTGTATTTGAAACGACTTTATTAAGTCCAGAGCCTTCAAGTACTTTCTTTTCAATTATTTTATGTGTGGTAAGAATATCTGTAAATTATTCCCCGACCTTCTGGGGACCGGAATTCGTATTACAGATATCAGCAATTGATATAAAGATATCTTCAAAATTATTAATGATATCTTTAATTTGATTTTAAATCGATAAGGGTCAGAATTCAAGATATCTTGAATCTAATTAAATTCATTGAATTAGAGATACCATTCACGAAGTAATCATATCTCTGATACGTTTGTAGATATTTCAAGATAGCTTGCAATGGATTAAAATATCGTGAATAATTTCTAACATGACTATGTACAATATGATGGCAATTATCGTGTTGATATCATAAACGGTTTAGCCCAATATTTTCTTGATGTCTCAGTGACATTTAAAAATGTTTGTCTGTGAATGCTCGAACACGTGACCATTTCAGCTAATCAGAATGCAATAATTCAAATATATAATATTTCGTATTTCCTCTATAAGACGCCCCAGCACCTATAAATTTCGTGCAAACTGTTGACAGCGTCCTTTCTGTTTATGCACCCACTACCCTACCAAATCCAATATTCTAACCATACAAAGGGAATGAGTGAGTTTTACCCAGCTTTTAGCAACATTCAAGCAATATTACAGCGGGGGGACACCAGAAATGGGCTTCACTATTGTACCCATGTGAGGAATCGAACTCGTGTCTTCGGTGTGGCGAGCGAACGCTTTAACCACTAGGCTACCCCACCGCCCCTAATCATACAAAGAGTTTATATTCGCGTCATTTTTATCACAACACAGCATGGTGTAAGAGAG